CCCCTGGCGTGCGGAGGTACCCCTGAGCCCACTTTCCCACCTGGTGCTGGGGGAGGGGGAGTAAGGGAGTGGCAGCCTTTATGCCCTTCTCCGGGATGCAATGAGCTGGGAACTGCCCCTCCTTCTGGTCCTAGCAGGGTGCTCTTGGTGGGGGTCGTGGGGCTCCATGTCCTCCCCCTCCCCTGGGATGAGCATACCAGCCCTTCCCCGCACCCCTAGCCAGACCTGCACCCTCCCTGGCGTTGCCTCGGGACACCATCTGCCTGCTTGGGGAGGGGGTTGGGGTCTGTCCCTGCTGTACTACCCCCCCAGGAGGGACAAATGCCCCATGATTCTGCCCCTAGTCCTTGAGGGTGTTCCTGGGGGCAGGCAGCTGCCCACATTAAGCCCTGCTCTGCTCCCAGCTTGCTCATAGAGGCTGAGGGAGAGGATGCCGTTGCCACGCAATGCCAAGATGCTGAGCACCAAGCAGTCCCGAGCAGGCAAGGTGAGCTCTGCTGCAGAGAATGCTAATGCTGAGAAGGTGAGTCCTGTGCTGGGCAAGGGGTGTGGGAGGCTCCTGTGGGGCAGCTGGCTCCCCATCTTCTAACAGCCTCTGTTGCAGGATGAGAACTGTCAGGCCAAGAGGTCTCCATCCTCACCCCAGGGTGGGCCCAAGAAGAGGTCGGCATTTGGGGACATCACTAATGTGAGTGCTTCTGTGGGGGTGGGGGCTTTGGTGCCCCCTGTGAGCCCCCCATGGGAGTGGGGCTGGGTATCCCCTCCAGCATGCAGAGTGGGGGGTGTCCTGTGCCCTGTCAGCAGGAGGAGAGGTCTCCCTGCAGGGCACACCTCGCTTCCCTCTGTGCACCTCTGCATGCTCCCATTCTCACCCAAACAGGCTCACAAGAACCAGGTGGTGGCAGGGAAGAAGGAGGCTGTGAAAGTGGCACCACACAAGGCACAGAGAGCCCATGCTGCCCTGGGGGTGGCCAAGAACAATGAGATCAACCTGAAAAAGTGAGTAGCCAGGGGAGATGGGGACAGGGACTGGGGCATGGGGGACACTGCAGGGCCAGCACCTGCAAACCTGTACCATAGGGAAGAACAGGCAGTAGTGGGGGCCCTGAGCCAGATGGGGAGGGCAGACAGATAAAACGGCCTCAAGTTGCACCAGGGGAGGCTTAGATTGGATATTAGGAAAAATTTCTTTACCAAAAGGGTTGTCAAGTGTTGGAACAAGCTGCCCAGGGAAGTGGCTGAGTCACCATCCCTGGAGGTATTTAAAAGACGCGTAGATGTGGTGCTTAGGGACATGGTTTAGTGGTGGACTTGGCAGTGTTAGGTTTACAGTTGGATTTGATGATCTTAAAGGTTTTTTCCAACCTAAATGATTCTAAGAGTCTCTATGGGGATATTTTACAGGTGATTTAGCCCTTTCCTGAAGCAGCAAGGGGCTCTGGAGAACCCCTTTCAGCCAGGAGATGTGGCTTCCTCCCAGTAATGATTTATGCTCTTGTCCTGCCTAGGTCAATGAAGAAAACTCCCCCAACAGAGGCTCCTGCAGAGCCCAAGGAGGATCCTGTGCCAGAGGAGCCGGTGCCTGCTCAGGTACCAAAGCCCTCCAAGGAGAGGGCAGGGACCCTGGGCTGCAGCCTGGCCCCCAGTCTTATCCTGATGGTGCTGGTCTATGGCTGCCGCTGGTGATACCAGGGCACCAGTCAGTGCTTTGGACCTCAGAGATATCGGGCCAGTGTGATGGGAAGCTGGGGAGAGTGGTAAACCCCCCTGCCTTCTTCCCTCAAGAGAAAGAGTGGGGTGGGGGCTGCAGGGTGATGGGGAAGGGGGTGCAGAGGTGCAGCAGCTTTGCCCTGAAGGGGTGACCGGCACCTACAGAGCTCAGAGTCTCCCCGTTACCACTGCCTCCTCCATCCCACCAGGTACCAGCAGTGGAGGACATAGACAAGGAGCAGCTGGGTGACCCCTATGCCAATGCGGAGTATGCCAAGGAGATCTTTGAATACATGCGGGGAAGAGAGGTGGGTGATGTCTGGCCAGGGGGTGGCAGCCCTGTGTGGGAAAGGGGTAATCATGAGGGCAGGGCCACCTGCTGCCCAGAGGCTCTGAGCACCTGGCAGGGGCCTGCATGGGGCGGGAGGGGGCTCATTTGAGAGTGGTGGTGTCTGTCGAGTCCTTGATAGCTGGTACCTCGGCAGGAGAAATTCATGCTCCCTGACTACATGGAGAAGCAGCCAGACATCAGCGGGGACATGCGTGCCATCCTGGTGGACTGGATGGTAGAGGTGCAGGTATGTGGGCATGGGGAGGGGGCATGGCCTTCTGCCAAGCAGCCCCCATCCTGCCTTTGGTATGTGGGACCTCAGTATGCCGGCAGAGGCTGCTGCAAGTGTCCCAAGTGCAGAGCTGATCTCCCCCCTCCCCAGGCTGGGGATGAGCCTGCATCCCTCCCTCTGAGCCTGGCCCCATGGGCACCTCTGGCCCCTGTGAGGGAACCTGGGGGGGCCAGGTGGGCCTAGCTTCTGCCTGACACCCATTTCTGCCCACCTGCCTGCATCCTTGCAGGAGAACTTTGAGCTGAACCACGAGACGCTGTACCTGGCTGTGAAGCTGGTGGACCACTACCTGGTGGAGGTGGTGAGCATGAGGGACAAGCTGCAGCTCATCGGCTCCACCGCCATCCTCATCGCCTCCAAATTTGAGGTGACTCCTTGTGTGCTGTCTTGGGGTGCTGGGGCAGAGGGGGCTGTGCCTCTCTGGTCCCCATGGGTTACTGGAGAAGGCCAGGTCCCCATGGTGCCGGGCCACTGCCCTGAGAGCTGCTGGGGTGGTATGCCTGTCCTTGTGTTACCCCTTCCTATCCCAAGGGCTGCAAATGCAGTCCTGGTGGGCTGGATCCTGTCTTCTGGTGTTACTGGAGACCTGGCTCCTCTCTGCTCTGCAGAGACCACCAGGACATCTGAGTTCAACCTCATGCAAGCAAGGCTTGGAGTTAGAGCCAAGGGCTGGGGCAGTATAGACAACACACAAGCCCCACTGGATGTTGTAACAGTCCTTTCAGGGTCTGGCAGGGCATGAGCCCTTACAGGGCCTGCAGACTGGTAGGATTTCCTGAGCGTTGCCAGGCTAAGTCCCTGTTAGGGTGCTGAGCAGTTGTGCCCCAGCAGGAGCGGTGCCCACCATGTGTGGATGACTTCCTCTACATCTGTGACGATGCCTACAAGCGGGAAGAGCTCATTGCTATGGAGATGAGCATCCTCAGCACCCTCAAGTTCGACATCAACATCCCCATCCCCTACCGGTTCCTGCGACGCTTTGCCAAGGTGGGTGTAGCAGGAGGGTGGGCTGGTGTCAAGGTGCCTCCACACATCCCTTGTGTTGGCTCCCTGGGGTGGTGATGTGCATCCCTGGGGCCCTGGGCTCCTAGCTGGCAGCAAGGAGGGTTTGGCCAGGCCCCCCCAACAGGGTTAAGGGGTGAGGATGCTGATCTGTGGCAGGCTGGGGGTGTGGGATCTGTGTCCTGTGCCCTAGGGGCAGCACTCTAGATCCCAAAAAAGTTGAGGGGGGGAGCAACATTGCTCAAAAGGCTGAGCCTTTCCCTGCCTGCCTGGCTGTAGTGTGCCCATGCCACCATGGAGACACTGACGCTGGCCCGCTTCCTCTGCGAGATGACCCTGCAGGAGTACGACTATGCCCAGGAGAGCCCCTCCAAGCTGGCTGCCAGCTGCCTGCTGCTGGCACTCACCATGAAGGACCTTGGTGGCTGGGTAAGTGCCTGCCCAACCTGCTGTCCTCCCGGAGGCACCATGGGGGTGCAGGACTGGATGGACAAGTGTGCAGGGATAATGCTCTGGGGCTACGCTCAGATTTGTGGGGCTGGAGAGGGAAGATAATGGCTGTACCATCGCTGAGAGGACCCCCAGCTCAGCCTTGCTGTCCCTTTCAGACCCCCACCCTGGAGTACTACAGTGGGTACCGTTCCCAGGACCTGCATCCCCTGGTGAAGAGGCTGAATTTTCTGCTCACATACCAGCCCCATGACAAGCTGAAGGCTGTGCGCACCAAGTACTCACACAGGTGAGCATCATGGGGCTCTGCCTCGTACCTGCCCCCTCTGTGGAGGGTGGCACCACCAGCATACACCCTTGGGTGCTGCGGAGAGCTTGGGGGGCTCTGGTGGATGGGTGTCAGGGCTGTAGCTGAGCTCTAAGCCAACATCGTTCCTTCCAGGGTCTTCTTTGAGGTTGCCAAAGTCACCCCTATGGACATGCTCAAGCTGGAGGAGATACTGAAGAGCTGCTAGCCTTTATCTCTGTAAATAGCCTGTAAATAGCTGGGTGCTCTCTGGCAGGGGAGGACCATGTACATAAGTAATAGCAATTTTAACTGAAGGGGGGGGAAAAAAAGTAATGTGGAGCTGTCAATAAAACATTGTGTTTTGTCTTATGAGCTGGTGGTAGAGATCATGCTGAGCCCCTGAGCTGTGCTTCCCCGAGCTGTGTTGGGACAGGGGGGGAGGGTTGCATGATGGGGAGCATAAAGGGGTTAGAGCAGGAAGCTGAGGGGTGAAGGGGCCAGGTCTCCATCACCCTCCCCACACCCCTCACCTAAGTAATGACACTACACAAGCAGCAGCAATGAGTATCTTTTCTCCAACTATTTACACAGCTTAAATACCCACGTGGGGAAGGGGGATCTTTGCTTTGGCCCCAGCTTGGGCACACATATGGCAGCCCAAGCTCCTGTAGTGAGCCTGCTGTGGGCTGGACTTGTCATGCCATGTTGCCTATGGGGCTACACCTCTGCTTTAGTGTTTCCAGCCCCACAGGTGTGGGAAGAAGCAGTGGCTCCAGGGACACTGGGGGACAAATAACCAGACAAAGCGAGGCAAGCAGGGGGACTCCACACACATGGGGCACAGTGGGGACCTGGAACCCCCCCCTCTGCCTGGTCCCTAGGGGCAGCACCCAGTTTGTGGGCTGGGCTGCTGCCCTGCTGCTGGCCTAGGGTGGGTTGCTGAGCTCCTTAATGGCCTGGAGGACTCTCTTCATGTGGCCCACTTTGGTGATCCCCAGGTCCTGCAGGAAGGAGAGAAAGGAGCTGACGTGCTCGTAGAGGGCCAGCCCTCAGCTCTCGCTGGCAGGGAAGCCATGCGGCGGAGGACGAGGCTGCAAAGCCCAGCTTCCCATGCTCTCCCTGCAGAGCATGGTCCTTGCTAGGAGCCCTCTGTTCTCTTCCAAGCGTGTCCCCATGCCTGAGTGCAGGAAAGGGCATGGTGCTGTTGATCCTGCTTTGGGCAGGCATATAGAGCCTTGCAAGCTCGGGGGCTGGGGCCAACCCCCTCCTCTGCTTCCAGCCCCTGCATACAAGCTAAGCAAGCGGTGCAAGTTCAGCCTTGCTTTCCCTCCCCCCCAACAAGGATGGGGAGAGGAGGTATGGAGGACACCATGCTCCTCAGGGCTGGGGGTCCCTCAGGGGGGTACAAGGGGGATTGTACCTTCAGGTCTCTCCTCTCCAGCAGGATCAACTCAGAGCCCTGGATGTCATGCCGGACAAAAATGTCTCTGTACTCCCCTAAACCGAGCGCTTCCAGCCAAGCTGCCACCTCCTCGGAGCCCCACTTGTCTGCTAGCAGGGAGGAAAACCACAGAGGTGGACTGGGTCCCCGCAGAGGCAGCTGGATGCAGCAGGGCAGGCAGCAGGCAGCTGAGGGCAGCGGTGGTGGCAGGCTGCAGCCAGCATCCCCCTCCTCCCACCCCCAGCTCTGGCAGGGCCAGAGGCCACAGCAGGCTCAGGCTGGAGATGTTTCTCCTCAGCTTACTTACGGAGCATCCAAGCTTCCCCTCGACAAGACCCCCAGTGCTGGGGCAGGAACTTACCAAAGAGCTGATCTGTACCATAGCCCCCTTCTCCCCCTTGCAGTGGTGGTGGAGTTACAGGGCCGGGGGGCTCCGCATGTCCATTAGCAGAAAAATTAAGCTCTATGGGGCTGTTGGTGACAAAGGTGACATCCCCAGGCAGCCAGGACATGCCCTGTCCCCCTCCCAGAGGGTCCCTCCACAGCATGCCCAGGACAGGAGACCGATGGATAGGTCAGCACATGGGGGTCCCTACCAGTGTGGGCTGTGCCTGTCTCCCTCCCTGGCACGCCGCCTGTTTTACCTGGGAGCGCACTGTTGGTCTTCTGCTTTTGCACTTTGTCCTTGTCCTTCCTGGGCTTGGGGATGTTGAGGCGAAGCTTGAAGCTGCCCTTGTTGGCGCTACCAGTGCTTTCCTGTGAGAAGCCAGGCTGAGTGGGGTCCTACAGCCCCCCGGGGCCACCTGGTGGGCTATGCCCCCCTTCCCCAGTCCCTGTGCACCCACCTCCTCAGTAGGGTGGACAATGGGACCCAGCCAGTGAATGTCCAGCAGCCTCTGCAGCTCCTGGCCCAGCACACTCAGGGGACCATGCAGCGCTTCCTCCTCCTGCGGTGAGTCCAGCTGTGGGGGACAGGGACCATCCCCAGCCCTGCTGCCACCCCAGAGGTGCTGGCCGAGGGCACGGCCCCCTCCGTTGGGGGGCTCGGGGTGCTCTCTGGTCCCCCACTCACCGCCTT